ATTTTCGTAGCGCGTGACTTTCCATTTTGTTGCTGATGACGACGATAAGAACAGTGATATTGCTGGCAATGACGACAACGATAATGATGATGATGGCGATGATGATGATGATAATGACGATAGGGATGGTGGTAATAACGGCAATAAAGACCCAAGACACTGAAGTCACCATGCATCCCTAGCATTCATTAGAGCGCTTTGCAATAGAGAAAGTGTTAATGAAAACTTTTTTTTCTTTTTTTTTTTTTTTTTTTCAACCAACCAGCAACCACAATAACTAAAATTTATGAGAAGATTATGTTGGTTTTTAAAAACCTTTTAGAGAAAATATAAATATATTTAAATGAAGTTCAAAGGCCAACCAAGCTTTTAATATTTCCACTTTACACCAAAACGTAGAAGAGAGCTCCACCATTCGTCGCCCCATTAAATCCTAAATTCTCAATAATTAAAAATATAACAAAGGAATTCACTACAAAAAATATTTACAAAGAAATGTAATTTCCTTAAATAAATTACGCACTTAGGTAAATTAAATTTAATTAATATTATAAAATTTCATATATGTAAACACAACAACAAAAATATAATTTCGTAACATGTTATGTTATGTTACGTGTTTGCTACCATTACCGTCCATAAATGCTGTTAATTATTTCAAACTTTATTAATATAATAATCCTAAGAATATGCTACAAATTCATATAATTACACACACATTTCTATTTTGCTACTTGAAGATCAACCAAAGCAAAGGGACAATTTACAAACCTACATTTAGATGTGCATGCATGTATGAACGTAAACAAACATTAAATGAAGTATGCTTAGCGCTGGCATTATCCCTTAACCGATAGGATTGCTATTTGATATGAATGTGCATTGTTTACTAAAGAAATGTAAGCAGTCTGGATCAATACACACATTCATTGGATTCAATGAGCAGAAATATATAAAGATGCGCATACATATGCACACACACACACACACACACACACACACACACACGCATACACTTGGCCATACTACAAATGCACAAAGGCATAGGAACAACAGCACACAACAATCATATGAAATTTTCTCCTACACATACGTACGTACGTAAAGTGAAAATTGTTTTCATTCGATATTGTTTATTTATTCAGACACTTATTTTTATTTGGCAGACACATAACGAAGCGGAAAAAAGTTACGTGCTCATATGGCAAATTGACTGATTTTCTAAATGCACAGAGATACGCCATCGGTTGAAGTGCTTAAGGAAACTTTCCATTTATTGAAACGAAAACAAATATGAAAACTACGCTGCACACACACACACACACACACTTCCCTTATTTCGCATCCACTAATGTTTATTAGTTGTGGCGTAGCCAATAGTGGATCGAGAACCCTTTTTGAGAGGTGTAGAAGATGTCAACACAGTCCAATACTGCTGTTATTGGGCATATTGGAGATTTTCGTGGGGTTATGGAGGGGAAGAAAAGAGTAACCGTCCGAAGACGTTGACAAAGCCCAGTAGTTCTGTTTAAGGACTTGATTAATAAACAAATTCCTTTTCATTTCTCTATAACTTTCTCTATAACGAAGATAACCTGTTAAAAGCTTGGGAGATTGAGAGATCATTTGCAGCATTTATGTACCTTGCAAAAGCTCGTTTAATAGTTACGATTACCATTTCGTTTGCAAAACGTTTCAATGTGAACCCAGAATATAGGGTGATCATGAATTGGGAGAAAAACAATGGAAAAAGGGTGACATCAAATTGAGATCAAAGTTCAAATCAATATTTGATGGTTTCATAGAACTTTGTCGATAGGAACACATCTCGCTAATGTTTGACGTGAACAATTCCATATGAACATCGGCATGCTGCCCGGTGGGACACTGTATAACACAAGGCCTTAGTCAGCGCCTCCCAGGGTATCTGATAATACATATCACTTAAGGGAGCCTACTTCTGGCAAAGTTACTGCTGAGAATAGGAGAATGAGTATGAGGACCATGTGTTTACCAATGGACAAGTATTTATTGCTCGCGTCGCTTTGAAAGACCGCCTTTTGTGGGGCGGTAAGCACCCGATATTATTAGCGCCTCTAACAATTCTATGAAGCCATTGGCAAATACTTTATGCCGCCCACAGATGTACTACTTCTTTTGTATTAAGGCGACAATGCAAGCCTCCGGCAAGCAAGGTACAATAGAGCCACGCTAATCTGGGATGGTGTTTGCACCAGCTGCTACGTTTTTTGACTACTTTTGTTTTTTTACTTATTTGCCATCGTTGATTGCTTTGGCGACTTCACCTATCCTAACATTTTCTTTTCTAAACATTTAAGGAACATGACTTTTCATATTTTTCAATATTGATCTGGCCGTTAAAAAAAAATCACTTTTGCTTTCTTAGCACATACTTTTGAATTTTCGATTTAATTGTTAGTCGGTTTTCATGCAATGTAGGTTGACGTGTTAAAGTAGTTTTACGTTACTGCGCGTGACCAATTTTGGCATGATAGTTATCGATGAATAGCCTGTCGCCTAATCATCAGCACAATAACTGCCTTATGATTGCTCTTCACTTTTTCGATATACCTTATCGCCTTCGTATATAGAGATTCAATAAACTATTGTCGAGTTAAAGGGGGGTTAAGGGAGCGCAGTCTTTGTGAACCAGCAGAACACATCATTTTAATGAGTTCCGGTCATTTACCTATGCAAAGAATGTAATTGAATCTGTTTTCTTCTCTTGCTAGCTGCCTACGTCCTACTTAAAGTGAAAAGGGGTAAAAGCCAAATTGTTTAGCTATTGATTTGAAATTTTTGCAAGTTATCATTGCATCATTACCGATTTAAGACTTTCTTTAAATGTTATCGCCTCGTAGTTCTTTCATCGCAGGCTATGATAATTTGGATTAACTTGCCTAATGACACAAGCATGTGGAAACCACATTTAATATAAACGATGAGATATTTTAGGAAATCAAGCAATTAATTTCTACATAACCTTAGCCATAGCATTAAGTGACTTGATGAAAATTGTATTTCGGTCTGAGAAATTATCTGAGAAGAACATTTAAGAAAGAAAATCACGTTTATCGAAGACAGGTTTTAACTAATCATTATGAGGTTCGCTCACAATTTACTCTCGTAGCATTTCTTGGGGTCAGGTCGATAAAAGAATCCACTACGTCTGCGATTTGCCAGTTTTCTTCGTGTTGGAACCGCTTCCACTATTAAATCCTAGAATTCTCTTTTTGTGTATATTGCTATCACATAAATACTGCATAGCGATTGCACCTCTGCGGCTTCCGCTTTGCTAGTCGGAACGAGTAACCGCATTATGAAAAGCCATATATTTTCGCGTAATTAGACGAGAGACTAAATGGGCAACAATATTAGTCCTTTTTTTGCAAGAGTCTAACGAGCTTTCCTATCGCTAAAAGTTTTCGCCCACTTCGGCTTTCAAAGAAACGATGTCTGTTGGCATAATTTGACAACAATGACAACAGCTTTGCAGACTTTCCTCCCTGTGAAGATAGTTCGGCTCGTTGGATATCGTCTTTTAGATAGAAATAGATTTTGTGGTTTTCTCCCATCACATGGACAACGAGTAGGCATGCGTAAGATTTTTCAGACTCATGCCTTGGCTAGCAGAGATCCCTCTATCCACTAATATCCTTAGTTGGTGTAGCGTGTAGTGATGGGTCCTAATCTGAATCTGAATCTGCCGCTTGGGTTTATTATAGTTGGCGTAAGGAGTGGAAAAAGTGGCACCTAAGCTGAGAAACATGACGAATTCCATAGTTTCTTCTCGGCCCGATGCTGGTATCATGAGCGAACTTCCGAAGACCTGACGTTAGGATATCCTAGATAGATGGACCTCACCATTATTTGAAGTGGCCATCACGACATGATCTGATCGGCGATAAATTACGCAATATATGCACTTTGTGTGTTATCTATGTAAGCGTTCCAGATACGTTTGCCTTAATCGAGTAATAATATGTATATGTATGCAGCAACGAGCAAGAAGGGTTAAATGAAAAGCAAGAATTCAAATATTGAAGCAATCATCAGCCATCTGATAGGATTGCCAACGTTTTTCGAAATATTAGAAAAAAGATATTTTCAATGACATTTACCTGTTGCTTATCGAAATTTGTGTTCAAAACATTAAATACAGTTGTCTAAGGAGAGTGTTGCAATTACATCACAACGAAAACAAAGCTTTTTCCGCTGCTCATGTGGTGTTTTTGAGAAAAATAAATAGTTTTTCAAAAACAGTTTTTATATTTCAATGTTTTTTTGTTTTTTTTTTATGTTGATTTCTTACAAAAGCAAAAAAAACTACGAAATTTACAGAATACTTTTTCTTTTTTTTTTTATATATTATTGTTGCATTTAAAGACGGATTCGGTTTTACGCTTTTACGCATATACACGCATACGCATACACACACACATACATGTACGTTATGTGGCGTTTGGATTGTGCAGTTTTGCAAAATTTTTTGCAATTTGATTGAGGGAAATGTCTAGTGCGATGGCATTCAAATACTCATATACTCATATTATACTGCTACGTACTTATTACATGCACACATATGCAAGAGTACTTTTTAATAGGTTTTTAATTAAAGTTTGATTGCACTTAGTTATGCTTTAAGTTCGTATACATTAAGCTAATTTTTGTGCTCTCGTACACAGCCATTTTTGAATGGGGAGACAGACGATGATGAAAGATACAAAAAAAAAAAAAGCAAAAACAAATTTCATCACTATTTAAAAAAAAAAAAATGAATAGAAAAAATGTAACGAACATCGCATAGATACACTAAGAGTTATTTATGCATATGTATATGCAAATAACTTAAGCTTAGTATACTCAGAATTTGAAATTTCTGCACACATTTAAAGTACAAAAGCATTATTATGGATAGGCACAGGCACAAGCACAAGCACAAGCACTTGACGTCCACACTGTAGCATTGTTTACAAGGACTTTTTTCTTTATTTATTTATTTATTTTTTTTTTTTTTTTGCTTCTATTCTAATAAAATGACACAACGAAGAAGCTCATCACTGAAGGTAGCAGCAACAGCAGCAGCAGCAGCAGCAGCTTAAATGCAAACATACTAACTCTCGCGCACAAAAATATATATATTAATATATATATATATGTATGTATGTATGTATATATACTACACACACATACGCGCGCACAAATATATATATCTGCACAATAGTGGCGAAGAAGTTTACGTATGCTTTTGATATAATTTCTTTAAATCTTGTTGTTAGTAGTTTTCATATAAAATTTCACAAAATTCACTAAAATTATTTTGTTTTTCTTAAAATATTCGTTTGTAATTATTGGAGGGTTCGAATTTCTAAGAGGTTTTTAGTTCTTTTTTTTTTTTTTTTGTATCCTTCTTTTTTATATTATTTTTTATTTCTATTTGTATTTTTATTTTTATTTTTTTTTTCTATTTATGTTTATTTGGTTTTTATGTACTTAGCCAGCAAAGAGCAAGAACATAAAGCTAGAAGCAACAATGAAAACTGGAGAAACATATTTTGGAGTCTTGCATTGTATGGGCAGGCAGTTAAAGCAAATAGCGCTCTATTCTATATTCGTATTATGCTGCTTTGTGCAGAAGAATATTAACAACAATAAGCAGAGGAGAATTCACGCTCTCTCACGCACTTGTATGCTCTTTTAAAAAGCTTTTCAAATACATGTATAGCGCATAGCACAATGCAAGCTTTCAAACTCTTGAGCTTTTTAACATTTTATCAAGCGCAAGAGAAATCAGGTCACGAACGTACGTTTTAAAGATAATAGAAAAAAAAATAAAAAATTCGAAAGTACAAGAGGAAAGTAATTCCTTCTCTCTACATTTGTGGCCTAATGGTCGAACTTTTTTTTAAACCTAACTACTCGTCTCGAGACCTGGATGCCAATTTCTTTGAAATTTAAAAATTTCCTATTTCGACTAACAATGTGGGCCGCGAAAAAAGCAAATTTATTATTATTTCTTACAATTATTTCTAACAATTATTTTTTTATTAAGATTGAGAGGAAGATGTTTGGCAAACAAAGGTTGAGCTTAGTTTGATTTAACTTGAAGAAACACCTTTACGATATGTTTATCTATGATATTCAAGGCCCGCTTTCGATTGCTTCTCCCGAATTGAGGGAATAGCATGGGCTTTGTTTTCTTTTCTACTAGTGTAGTATTTAACCAAATCATTTATAAATGATCAAAGTTTTACTCAAAATTAGTATTAGGTTAAAATATCTTCACATGCGCAGGCGCCAATACATACATACATTCCTCTTAATGCCTATCGGTAAACAAAGATATTGAATCTACTTCATTATGTTCGCTTCTTATCCATAACACGTGACCCCATCGTGGCCTTGGTAATGGTTCGAGCATACCGATTACGCAACCTTTTCGAGCTAAGCAGCATTTCCTCTTTTCTCCTTTTCTTTTGGAGGGAGCGCAACCAAAAACAAAACTTGAAATGATTAAAAATGTATTGGAGATATAAAGCTAGTTCCTGCATAATCAAAGGCAGCGAGAGGACTTTGCAACACGATGTGCAAATATCGCGTCAAGGCAAGAGCGGACAGACAACAGCAACTAGTTGCTTCTATAATAGACAATTTACAAAATTTATATAAAAAATGCAACTTTAATGAAAGCCCTCAACTTTTTCCAGTGCTGCCCAATTCCAATTCATAAGAACGATCTTAGAACGAACGTAATTAGATTAACGGGATACAAATCTACTGCGGATGGTCAGAATAATATGAAGAATTAATCTAAAATTTCTTTACTGCCACAAGCATTTTACGGCATACACTTAACGATACCGTAATGATAATGGCATATATCTGGTACCTCCTTGATGTCCGACTGACTGTCATAAAAATAACCCTTCGAAGATTAGCTTTGATTTAGTTTGAATTAAACTTCTGATTGGTCAAAAGACTGGGCTAACTCGAAAATTAAGTTCCACCAAAAATTTCTATGGCTCATGATGTTCACATGAAAGAATGATAATATGAAGATAATACTGGAAGCCATAGGTTACGATGAATAAATGTGGAGACTTAAACGTCATTGCGATTTTGGTATATACATAGCAAGGCCATTGTGAATGAGAGAAAATGTACCCGCCGACGTACAATAAAAAAATATATCACCAACGTGCCTTAGTTAAGCTCATTCTTCCTTTAGTCCCTCCAAAATTGGACCTTAAGCAAAATTTTCCGAATCAATGATGCAAAAATCGGTTTGACTCTTGGTCCCCATAGCATGTTCGGTCTTTGTAAAGACGCAAGTTTCGATTTCATTCAAGGTAATGAAAAAGCTCCTTGAGATTTTTCGAATGATAGGAGCAAGTTTTCCGATAAGGCGACTGGTTACACACCTTGTTACATGTTATCAAAAGCTGGGATGCAATATATCACTGAAAGTACCATTTCTGCATTCGCATATGACTTTGTGGAGGACTGTAATGTTAGCAGACTAGTGCTGGACGCACCAGAGACGGGTTTCAATACGCAAGAAGGACAACATGTAACATAATACGCGGTTTTGTCAAAGATATTGTTTTCAATATGTGTTTTCTATGAAGGCTCCCCCTCTTCCATTTACAATCTTTAAGATAATGAGAGAGAGAGAGAGAGAAAAAAATGTTTAGAACTCAAACAAAGTCATTTTACACGTATTCAGAGTCAATAGACATTGATTTTTAGGCCGGTGTAATTTGTCAATTAAAGACTGGCAGAGCTAAGCAGCGCTCAACAAGAATTAAAAATACATGGTTGAGTTTGATATATGCCTCACTTTCACCACGAAATTAAGTTAATTTTAAAAAGGACCTGAACCATTTTGGACATTATGAGATCTTGAATACAATATCTACTAACTCTGTGGTGATTTAATGCATTCCACGCAAAATTCGATTTACCCAAGGAACTTCTGATTTGGTTTACTCAAGAATTCCCAAAACTACAAGTTTTTCTTTATAGTTTTTACGAAGGACAAGCTTTTGCCCAGCGTTAGTTATGCAACCGATCAAGAAACAACAAAGAAATTTTAATTAATTACTATATGAACTGTACAAAGTAATAAATCGCATAATAATATATGAAATTGCGAGTGTTTTTACAGTACAATCCAGTAAAGATTAGAGATGAAAGAAGCTGTTGCGACCTGAAGATTAATTTAACTTTTTGCGGCTTGCGTTTGTGTTGTGTGTTGTGTGTTGTGTAACTTGTAGAACTGTTTTGAAGCGTTTTTAATTCTATTTGCATGTTTTCGTAACGGGCCAGGGATAATTAACTATATTACGAGCTGCATGATGAGATGAAAAGTACAGACTTCTGTTTACACATCTATAATAACACAACGCAAATGATATTAATTATATAACTTTAGAGCATTTACTCGAACCCATGCAAATTAAACGCAATAACGCTAACATTTCAATATTTAACTGCATATATCACAAACATGCACATGCAGCAATGAAAGAACAACAACAACATAACATACGTTTACTTCGGAATGCATAAAATAACCAAGTAAGACGTTATCCTCGGCTTGAGTCGAATAGTTTAGGATCTATTGCCCGCATAAGTGTGGCAGCATTTGATAAAAGCATATTTTGCAGGTCCTTTCACTCAACATCCCATTGCATATCGTACATACTATCATATTTTTGCCATATTTGTTTACCCTTTGTTGTAAAAGTGTACAAGCTAAGACACTTTGATCTATCTTTAGTGGATTTTCAAACTCAGTCACAATTGCTCTTCTCATCAGCCCAAGAAATGTTTTTCGTAATGCTTGAACATAACATAACGACGTAATAAGCGAAAATTTGAAGCAAACTTTGCTCACGTTTAAAATCGTAATTTCAACTATGGAACGCAGATCAATCGATTCCGCTTATGACACAAGCAAATACTTTATAGGGTTTCCGAAATATATAGCAAACATTTGACAAATCTAATACACTCGACTGTGACGAGAGTACGTATGACAAACAAATGAAGAAGGCGCCAGGAAATATGCTAAATGTGTTTTAATTTTGCTTTCATGCACACGCTAAGGCGAAAAACAGCGTAACACGACGACATATGAAAACCAAACAAAGCGAAAAGAAAATAAAGATTAGGCTTAAGGAAGGAGATATGTCTGTAGAGGAGTGTGTGTGTGTGTGTGTGTGTGTGTGTGTGCGTGGAATACTTGGAATTTCGTATACTTGCTTGCATTTACTGCTCATGAGTTTTAATATTTTATTTTCCTTTTCTACGGTGAACAGGAGAGAGATATAAATAAGCACATGCACACAGACTACTTACTTACATGCTGCAAGGATTTAAGAAGCCTTGAAAGAAACACCTTTGTTATGTTCATTGCGCATACAAACACTCATACCAGAGCACACATACACAATACGCATACAATAACGTAATCAGTTACATTATATGTAATATACATGATGATGGTAATAATAATGATGATGATGATGATGATGATGATGATGATAATAATGATAATGATGATGTTGGTGAATGGTTGGCTGGATGAATGGTTA